ATCTGAAACCTGTCCACCATGACTGGCCCTGCTGGTATTTAAAATACTGGTGGCATAGCTTTCAGAATCACAACAACTCACGAGCCACCACAGTATGACAAACTGACAGACGAGGTGGATTTATATCCTGGTTTGGTGCTGTAGGTTAATGCATGTGCTGGACTGTGAAGTCAGTTTGAACTGCCAGGTCAGCAGTTCTAGCTCACCAGCTGCTCCTATACAGGGTTGTTATGGATCGGAACTGACTTAGTGGCATTTGACAACAACCACAACAAATAGTCTGTGTCTTAATGGTATGTTAAAGCTGAATTGAGTAAAACGCAGTGTGTTAAGACTACATCCATCTGAATGTTTCATTATATCTCCTTTTCTCTTCTTTCACATAGTGAGTTAAAGGGTGTGATAGTCACTCTGAGTGAAGATGGACACTTGCAATGTTCATACCTGGGGACGGACCCTTCTCTGTTCCAAGCTCCAAAAGTTGAATCTAGAGAAGTAAACTATGAAGAACTTGATGTAGAACTGAAGGAACTTCAGAAGATTATCAAAGATGTTAACAAAACACAAGGTATCTTATTTACAGCTTTTTATTATTTGATTTTTATCAGTATTCATTGCAAAATTCCCATTGTTTCTTGTACAAATAATGTTATACATGTAGTTAATTTTCTTGTTCTTGTTGTTAAGTGCCATCAAGTACGTTCTGATATAGTGACCCTGTATAGGGTTTCTGAGGAGCAGTTGGTAGGTTTGAACTGCTGACGTTGTGGTTTGCAGTCCAGTGCTGATCCTACAGCGCCACACCAATAGTCCAATTTTCTTGTTAGACTTGATTAAAATCACATTTTTAAAAACAGTGTTGATCATTAACATACAATATCTTGGTGCTTAATTTGTATATGATGTTGCTGCTGTTGTTGTTGTTAAGTGCCATCCAGTTGGTTCTGACCCATAACAACCCTGTATTGGGTTTCTGAGGAGCAGCTGGTGAGCTTGAACTGCCGACCTTGCAGTTCAGATGGCTTTGCAGTCTGGTACATTAATCCACAGTGACACACTGGGACTCCAATGTGTATGTGATGGCTTCTGAAAAATATGTCCTAAATTAAATAATGCTTTCATGATACATTTTAGGGTATAGTACTACATGGTATTTTTCTTGAAGCTGAAGAGTGGAGCAAGTATGTAATAGCAATTTTGGATTTTGCGAAGAACATTAATGTGTACAGTTAACATTTATTAATATCTTGTATCCCTGAAAAATTTTAGTATCTTCTTTTAAGAAGATACCAAAACAATACATGAGTTGCCATTTACTAAAAATGTAGTCAGTTATAGCTTAGTGATATAATTTATGGTTTGTAGTTAATTAGCCATCCTAATGGAGTATAGCTTGTGGTTCTCTGATTTCTAGTGACTTAGAAACTGATGATATTTTCAATTCCTGAGTTTTGAATAACTCAATATTATCTTACTTTGGGACTCACAAGGGTATAATTTTATTGTAAATTAAAGGAGAAACAAAACACCAACCCTGCCGTTTGAGTTGGACATGTGAAAAGCATTACTTTAAGTTCTCTTTTCTGAGTTAAGTTAAAAAGTGTTTTTTTAATGAGAAAAAATATGGAATTTTTTGCATAAGAGAATTGTTAGATGTTAAAACAAGTAGGAATAGTAAAAGAAGCACATCTTCAAAGCCAACCAAAGCAACATAGGTAATCTTAATCCTTCTCCAGTCTCTTTACTAATAGTAATTTATGTAGTTTTTTGAGTCTGTGTTACCAGTAATGTAGTCCTCTGATCTTGAGAAATTTAGATTAATATTAAAAATATAATATTAAAATAAAATCATTGTATTCTGGTTTCACACTTTCCTTTAGAAAGCTTTAAAAGCAAACTAGTGACTTTAGATCTTTTAAGTATTTTCAGTGAATTGAAAATCTACTTCTATCACTCATTTGTCAGTTTGTCTTACTGT